GTAACGCGTCAGGAGACTGCCAGATCAGCGGTGTACACCTACGTCAGTGGGCAGACACGCCAATGAGAAGCTCGTGCAGGGCTTATTGGCTTAGTAGCTGTCTGCTCTGCCTGACTGTCTACACAACTGAGCGAACTGCCAATCCCATGGAACTCTGCTCAGACTAAAATGTGCTACATGAGGCATTAACTGCATTACATAACGCCGTCTGCTAGATCACTCTCGCACCTCGCCTCGCCAACTTCCACTGACGATACCAAATTTTCTTACGACATACAGACTACTGCAGATAACGTGCATGAAGTTGCTGTTTCCTTAACAGACCCGTGACGCTAGCATTCACGACCACCGCGGAACGGATAAAGTGGCAATTATTTATATCCCACAAGTTACCACTTGGTGCCAGTCACATGTTCAGGGCGGATCAAGGGAAAAGAAGGGCAGCTGAGTAATGGCTGAATGTATTTCTGCCAAACATACTGCAATCAAGGGATGAGGAAAACGCACAAATTCAAAGGAATAAAACAGTAAAGTGCTAGTATCTTGGATGAGCTGAAAGGGGCGTCTACTTGTCATGAAGAAGGCAGTTTCGTGCAGTGGAACTTAAAGTGCAAAATGACAATAAACCCAAACACCTGACGTTCTAATTCGTTTATAGATGTGGTTCCTGGATCAGCTTGAACAGTTCAAAGAGCTCACAATTTTTGAAAGATTCCAAAGAATGGATAGGCAACTAGATAAGCGGACTCTTCAAAATACACCTCCTCCCCTCAAATAAGGTTCTTAAAGTGAAAAGTGCCGACAATAAACACAATTGCCTCTGACGTAAGAAGACTGCTCTTAAATGCCTAATCCATGCGTCATTACGTACAAATATATGTTTCTACTAGTCTGAGTACTCTTGTCGACAAGCATGTCGGAACCTTAAGCCAAAGGGGGAAAATGTGAGGCTTACCTGAAGGATGGTGAAGTTCTCCAGTACCTGATTCATCTCCTCAAGGGACGAAAGTGCCGCCAGCATGGCAATGAACTTCTTCATGGAGGCACACATTGGATTTCGTAGGAGCTTGTAAACGTAGCATCCATTTTCCAGAGCCGGGATTTCATCCTTTCAGGACGGGGTAAAAGAGGAAAAAGGCATAAAACCGTTACTTTATTCGAGCAGTTTGAGGCAGGTATGGGTGTATGCAGGTGCACTTATAATCATAGGAGAGACTGAGTGGTTATAGTTTTCTTGATTGTGCAAAGGTTTGGAAAGAAAAAAACGGAATACAGAGTTCATGGTATCGTTTTCACCATCC